ATTAATTTTAGTTAATTGGTTATGTATTTTTAAATAAAAAAAAATTTTGAATTTACTTACTTGTAGCCAGAGTTAGAGGCGGTCAGATACTTATGACCGCTACTGTAATAAATAATTTTCTGCAGCTTATTTGTGAAATAAAATATATATATATATAATTATGTAAATAATAAATAAACAAATCAGTATAATTACAGATCTATATATAATATATCATCTTCAGTGATATATATCAAAAGATTTGCTCAAAATCAACTTGAGTTCAACTCAAATTTGCTATAAATGAATATAAATTCAATTCAAATCAGTCAGAAACTATTAATTTTATTAAATTATTTAATGTTATAAATATTTTATTAAATATTCCATTAAATAATTAATTAAATTTTGTTAAATTTTAACAATTCTATGTGGAAATTATCAGCAAAATTTCAATACAGATTGAACTCAAGTTTGAGAAAATTTTAAAATTGTGTGTTGGTAACATCAGCGATAAATAACAACCTTTAAACAAATTTGCAATATGTATTGTTAATCATAAATATATCTTAGCATGTCATTTAAATCACATGGTATATATAAAAAAATATGATATTTAAGAAATATTTATAAAACTTCGAACTAAACAATTTCTATTCCCTAATCAATAATAATTTTATAAAATTTTTATTCAATTACATTTACAATATCATACTAGAACAAAAATGTTTTATTTATTAATGATCTACAATATGTATAACACAAAATATTTGTTTTACGCATCATGTTCTCATCTTGATCCTGCACAGTTTAACTATATGACCTATGATCTAATCAAATTATTCAGATTCTGAAAAAATCTTACCAATCAGACGCCAATTTCATTTACAAAATACTAAATGTTCAAAATTAGATGGCACTAAATTGATACGCCTAACTGTTATAACATTACCAGCATCAGAGAACAATCTTTCACTGAAAGCAAATGTTGCTAGAATAGCTAAGTACTTTTTTGCTAATTGTGATAAGATTAGAAAGCATGATTTCTGTAATGCTCACTATTTAAAAGGATAAGTGCCAAAACTAGTTTTCTCTATCATCAGATATCCCTCAATTTTATCATGCCTTTTTAAAAAATAAAAATTCTCTTTAAATAAAAATTAAAAAAAAATTTTTATATAAAAAAAATTTTTAAAAGAATATATATAATAAAAAAAACTTAATCTATTTAAAAAAAATAAAAAATCACTCATATAAAAAAAATGATATAGTAAAATAAAGAATAATTTTACATTTAAATATACAGTAAATAGATATTTAAGAGAATATAAGATTCACTTTTAAAAGAAGAAAGTTAGTAAATAAAAAAAAAAAAAAATTCTTAAAAAATGCTTATGACTAGTAAAAATAAAAATAAAAAAGAAATTATTCTAAATAAAAATTTAAAAACACAGCTTATTTAATCAAAAAAAAAAATAAAATAATGATTTTACCTTATGTAGTAAAATATGCCAATTATCCTTCTATCCCCCAAAATATGGAATCTTTTTCCAAAATATCACCATATTTTAGAAAGTAGTCAGAACTTTTATGAATAAGATTATTGCCGACGAAACCATCAGTAATTTGAAATTTCAAAGGTTTAATCAAAAAAGTTTTAGCATTTGAAAAGAAAATATCCAAAGCATCAGAATTTTTGATCATGACATCATAATTCAATTGTAGCAACTCTAATTTTTTTGGAAATGATTCAGAATTTGCCAATTGAATAATTCCTTCACTAATATCTATTCTATGACCCGGCATAGTATCACCTCGTAAAGTAAGACTTTTAATAAGAGGATTTGAGCGTGTAATTTCATGTAATTGTAAAACAGTTTTAGAATTTACAGCGATGTTTAAAGAATTTAATTTAGTACAATTATTGGCTATTGATGTGAAAAGGGTAGGAGCATTATATCCATCGATCACATATTGCCATTTTAAATGAATTACTTGTAAGGTTGATCCAGAATTTTCAATTATAGTTATAAGTGATTCAATTTGTAATCCAACAAGATCAATTTCTAATTTCCAAAGATTTTGAACGGGATTTGTCATGAGTGGTTCAAAATAATCTTTTCTAACGCGTTCATAACTTTTGATGATAAGGGATTCCAAAGGTGATTCTCTAAATGCCGTGAGAGGAACCCTATAACGCCCCAAGGACGTTAAATTTTTTAATGTGTCATATTTATTGGAAAAAGCTTTCATAAGCAATGGCATGTCAGTACTTGCGTCAAGTGAGAAAGAAACCAACCCTTTCTCTTGAGCCTTAATCAAAGCATTTAACCCAACGCTGTCAACACATCCACATTTAATTCTAATATCTGTAATAGAATGACATATTTCGGCCAAGGCAAGATAGAATTCTGAAGGGAGACAACCTTCACAATGGAATGAACTCAAATTTGATAATCCACTTTGTACATTTGGAAGTCTTGCAAAAGAAATAAAAAATGAATCAAATCTTTGTTCATCAGTACAGAATGACTTTTCAGCACAAATATTTGTGAGATTTGATTGATTAAGGAATACAATTACTAATTCTCTCAAGATAGTATTCGCTATTCTAACATTATCATCATCAAAAAAATAATATTTCCTTTTGTCCATCCAAAGTGCAATCGCTCGATCCACGTTTGCCAAATGAAATGTTTTCAATAAAGTCACATAAGGAAAAATCGGCTTCTTTATAGATAATTCATCAATATCAATCGAAAAACCTAAAAGAAAATCTTTAGTTTCTTGTGATAAATATGATAAGTATACATTTAAAATTTTCCATATTTTCTTAGATTTTGAAATTTCAAAAACTTCGAAAGGATTACTCCATAATTTTCTAATTCCTGCAGAAAAAGTTCTTCTATCTATTAGAATAGCAGTATGAAGCGAGCCAATATCTAAATTCTCGAATATCTCCTCCCAACATTCTGCAGGTAATCGATTTGCCATGTTTAGCTAGCAAAAGAAAGAGTCAATACTGACGTTGCACAGTTCATTCGTAATAAATAGATCAAGTTTCACAAAAAAGTTTAATTTATTTTCGTTGAAATGATGTCTTCACAATTACCCACAATACTTAATTCTACGTTTTTAACTTCTGGCTTAAGTAAAGGATTCTTTGAGTTTGTTACTAAAGTTGGAGAAGCTATAAGTAAACAGGTTAATTAGTGATACTTCAATATATATATTTAAGATATTTAAAAATTATTGTATATTGAAATTTGAATTAATTCAATTAATCAAGGAAGAAGATAGATATGTAACAGAGGAACTTACCTATCTAAAAAATAAATTAAATCAACCAGATGTCTCGACGGTATTTTAATAAGTCCTTTTCGAACCTTATAATAATTTCTTTTTATATTTTTTTTTTTTTTAAAAAAAATCGTTTTTTATAATTTGGGATTTACATAATTAGTATAAAATGAAAGATTACATAACAAGATTAATTTATTGTGAAATGTTGGGATATAATGTTGAATTTGGTCATATTCATGCTGTTAATTTGGCTCAAAGTGCAAAAGGATTATGGGAGAAAAGAGTTGGTGAGTTGTATTACTTATAAAGCTTCATCGATCTAGAGATTTATTAACGATTATTACTTGAAATTTGTAAATTATTAAATATTAATAAATTATTAATTAAAAAATATTAAAAAAAAAAAAAAAAAAACTGTTAAATGTTATAGGATATCTAGCATGTTCTCTATTCTTGCATGAAACTCATCAATTTAGTATAATGTTAATTAATACAATACAAAAGGTAATTAAAATTTAAGTCATGAAAAATAAAATCAAAATTAATTAATTTAGCTTATATTATTTGTTTATTAGGATTTAAGGAGTAGCAATTATCTAGAAGTATGTGCTGCACTGACCGTATTATGTCATTTATTAAACAAAGAAATGATTCCAGCAGTATTTGGATTAGTTGAAGAGAAATTATCTCATCCAAAGTAAATGTAAAGATATGGTTCTCCCTTATACGTTTATAATTAAGCTGATTGACTCTTTTTATTCATAAGAGATACAGTTCGGAAGAAAGCTATCATGGTTTTTCACAGATTATTTCATGACACGCCTGAAATGATTGAACATCTTGACGAGAGATTTCGTCAAATATTAACTACAAGAGATCCGGGCGTATTAGGAGCCATTTTATGTCTTTTTGTCGATTTTGTAAAGGTATCGATCGTATAGTTTATTGAACAAAAATAAACTTTTATTTTTTCCTTGCGAAAAGACTTAACATTTTCCTCTTAGAAAGATCCGAGTAAATTCAAAGATTTGGTTCCTGTACTCGTAAATATTCTCGAACAAGTGCTTGATAGATATTTGCCTAGAAATTATGATTATCATGGAGTTCCTGCTCCTTGGATTCAAGTAAAGGTTATTGAAATGATGGGAATGCTGGCGCAGGATGATGAAAAGCAAGTATTTCAATTCTTTAAATTTTGTTAAAATCATACTAATTAAAATTTCGTGTTATTTTTGTTAGGGTAAGTTCGGAAGTTGGACAATTGATTGTCCATACTTTGAAAAAGGCCGAAAATGGTGTAGATTGTGCTTACGGTATTATTTATTTTTAATAATCAATTTACTTACAATTTCAACAAAATTTTAAATTAATAAATAAAAAAAATGTATAGCAATAATATTTGAATGCATTCGCGCGTTAGCAAGATTACATCCACAAGTCTTGAGGGCCCTCATTCATAAACCATCGCATCTTAACCCACTCAGTATAATCACTCGCTTCTTAAAATCACATAATCATAATCTAAAATATTTGGGATTGATCGCATTATCTGAAGTTGATCCTATTTGGTGGGCTGAAGGTGAATGGTGTGGAGAGGAGCAAATGAAAGTTATTGTTGATTGTTTAGAAGAGAAAGACGATTCCCTCAAACGAAAGGTTTGTCTATTACACCTAATTTAAATGTGTTATTTCTTATTTATCATGATTTCGTTTTCTTTACTGAATATATGTGAAAATATATAAATAAATTTTTAGACATTGGATTTATTATATAAGATGGCTAATTCACAAAATGTGGTCATCATCGTGGAAAAAATGATTGAAGCATTACGCAATACTTCAGCAACCGATGAATTTTTGCGTAATTTATTAGTTGATAGAATTATTCAAATAACTGAAAAATATCCTTTAGAAATTTTGGTGTCACTTCGATTTTTTAACATTTTCCTACGTTATCTTTAATCGAATTTATGTTATTTTACACATTCTCTTCTGATTCAGAGTGGATGATAAAGTCCATAATTACAACATTCGAAATTGCTGGAGATTTGGTTCAAGAAAAAACCGGAGATTTCGTTTTTTTGATTATGTCTAAAAGTATGTAACTAGAAGTGGTTGAAGAAAATATTATTGTTTTCATTTTTATTTTTTTTTTGAATCTTTGAATGTGGTTCATTTTTTAATCAGTTTTTCTTTACTTATTTTTGAAGATACCAAGAAAGACAGTGAATTACGTAAATGTGCTTTCGTGGAAGCTTTAAAAGTCTTGGACAAAGATTTAAGCAATACCTCTTTGAGTTTACTTACCTGGACTGTCAGAGTATTTATTTTTTACATTTATAAAGGTTTGTTTGATATTAGTTTTTGATTTTTTTAAAAACTTTTTTTTGTTAAAATAGGTGCTGGGAGAATTCATGGATCATTCAGATGCGCAATCCGAGAAAGTTATCGATACGTTCTGTGAATTATTAAATAAGGAGTATGGTTCGTATAATGTTAAATATTACGTTTGAAGTGAAAAAATAAAGATTTAACTTAATTTTTATGCGTTCAAGCTACCCGTGGTCTTCAAAGTTCAATAATTACCGCTTTACTTAAATATGTGTCAAAGACAAAAGATTGTTCAGATAAAGTTATGGAAGCTGTCGCTAGGTGTAGAGAATCTTCTTCTAGTGATATCAAACAAGTACGTGCCATTACTTTTTTTTTTTTAAAAAAAAAAAAAGATGATTTTTAAACCTTTTTTTTTTTTTTTTTTTTTTGCGTTTTTATAGAGAAGTCGAGAGTTTCTTATACTAGCAGATGATTTGATACTTTTGAACAAGTTACTGGAACCATCATATACCGACGAAATCACTGTATATCTATTAATATTTTAAAAATTGGAATTTTCTTGAATTCATATTCTAATTAATCAATTTATTTATTTTTATAGATTGACGAGACACTTTCGTTTCTTGATGAATTTGTTGAAACAGCTTTGAAAGACGGAGCCAAGCCTTATAATCCTATACCAATTGTTCGAAGCAAGGAAACATCCGGTAAGAATATATTTAGGCTGTGATATATTCTAAACATTATAAATGAACGACCGATTAAATCTTTTACATCAGAATCCGAAAAAAAACCGATAGAAATTCGATATGAAGCTTACGACAAACCAACATTACCATATTATCGGAACCAATCATCAATTTCTAATTCAAATTTAAGTGAACCGAGATATGGAGACTCGGGACTTGCCACATCACCAATTGATGATGGCATTTTATCTAGTTGGAGCGGAAATCCACCTGTAACTCCAGGTCAGTTGGCGTGGATGAGCGTGTCACAAGATACGCTTTCGCCTGGAGATTATGGAGATTATGAAGAATTCGATGGAAGGTAAGCCTGAAATCTGGGTAAAAATTTGGATTTTTTTTTTTAGAAAAAAAAATTTTTTAATAGTCATCAAAAAATAGGCAGTCATTAATGGCGTCTGTTGCGAGGGTAGTAACGTCACCAAGTTCGTTGAAATGGAGCCGTACCGGATACAAACCGATTCAACAGCAGTCATTACGGTAATCTATTGCTTTATTAAACCGCTTATATTATTAAATGTTTAGTTATATACCCCTTAATTAAATATACTCTTTTAATTTAGCATCGTTTCTACTTCTCCAACATTATCGGCCATCTCTAGCGAAGAGTAAGAGTATTTTAAGAAAACGTTAAATATATGCGAGAATTGTTCCATGTAAAAATTTTAATATATATTTTTTTTTAAAAAAAAAACAGGCCAGCGAATAGTTCATCGAGTAACGTTCATCCGTTTTTGAGAACATCAGTCAAGGTAAACTTACAATCTCAAGAAATGTAAAAATGTTTATGCTAACATATTCCACTTTATATGTTAGACTACCCCTATAACATCAATTACGGCAAAGAATGTTGTCACACATGAAAAGGATAGATTAGCTTCGGCTTTATTTAATGGAGTTGGAACAAACGAGGGAATGAATTCTTCAATTTATGGACATTCCGTGGATGTTAGTAGAAGCGGTAATCTCCCCAAACATCATCCCCGGAAAAGCATGGTATGTACGACCATTTTAAGATAATTAATAAAATTATAATAACATTATTGTTGTTCTCGTTAGGGAGCTTCACAACATCATGCAAAGACCGAATCTACATTCTTAGAAACATATAGTAATATTAGGGGATCTCTGCTTATGAATAGTAAGTATATTATTTCTTAGCAGTGTATTTATATATATATATATATATATTTTTAAATTCTTTTTTTAGAGAATATACTACGACATTTAAGCCCTATCCAAATGACCATAAAAGATTATGAGAAATTTTGGACAAATTTGTCTAATGAAGGACAGGAAGAAGTGGTAGGAGAATTGGTTATAAACAATATGGAAATTATAAAGCAAAGATTGGAGGATGGGATAAATGAAAAGTTTAATGTTAATACAAGTGGAATTGGAAGCAGAAGGGGAAGTTGGAAAGTTATTGAAGTTATTGACAGAGAAGCTATTGCAGCATCTCAGTATAATCATCCTAGTCAGATCAGTAGTTCCACATTATCTCTGAGCGGAAATATAGTATTATTGCATTTTAAAATTCAACCTTTGCATTGTGTATTTACCATTAGAAGTAACATTGGAGGAATTATAGATGATGTTACGGATGAGATGAAATCATATTTTATGTGGCAAGAATAATTTAGTAAAGATCTGGTCAAACATTAAAATTTTTTTATTAAAAAGTTGGAGTTTTGTATAATATAGCAGAATAAAATTAATTTGTATGAATCAATTATAGAGTTTATATAACAACTAGTCAATTGTCAAAATAAATCCTAACTACATATAAATTTTACATTAAAATGTAAATAAATCTTAATTACATACAATCTTCATCTAGAATAATTGAACAAATGATTTATTCATTACCTATAAATTGAAGTAATAGAAAAATTTTATATATTATATTGTTGGTAATGATGTTGGTTGTAGAAGTAACATTGGAGCATGTGATATTTTAATATTTTAATAATAAATATTTTTTATTCCCTTAAGTATATAAAGTTTAAAATCATTTTACATATTATTAATAACTTAGTTATAAAAAGATAAATCAAAAAAAAATATAGCAAAAGTTACATATATTTCTTCTTTGCAAAATCTATAAAATTAATCATTTTAATCATCTACACTGAAATTTATAAATGTTATATTGATAGTCTTTCTGCTTTGCATAAATTAAGATATTAGTTTTAAAATGAATATTCTGTAACATTAATAAAAGATAGGTAAAAAACATATATATATAAATATAACATAATAATACTTAATATTTATGCCATTATGACTATTGATAAATTATATAAGTAATTATCCTTTAGTCTGAAGATTTTCCTCAAATATGTTTGTGAGACAGTATACATAAACATTGAACCTTAAATTATATTAGTAAATAGATCAAAAATTTAATGTAATTAATTGTCTTTTTTGTCTATTTTCAAGATAGATTGCAGTCACATATGACTTTATGACATAATTATATCATGAAGTCATATGCGACTTAGATTAGGTTATGAAGGTAACTTTATAGTCTGTCAGTATCTTTATAATACAGAGGGCCACCAAAAGTCTCTGAACACCACTTTTTGGCACAATAATTCATTTAAAATTTTTAAAATTTAATAAAGAAATTATTAAATAATTATTAAAAATGACATAAAGTAAATTTCGTAATAATTAATTAGTACTTAGTCAGGCTTCCATTTGTTTTAATTATAGCCTAAATTCGTTGTGGCATACTATCGACCAAATTTTCGATAGTATGTATGAAAATTTCTCTCCATGACTTCTTAATATGCCACTCTAGTTCAGCAATGTTAGAAGGCATTTTTTCAAATCACGGATGCTTTTCTTGACATTAGCTCACAGATTTTTGATCAGGCTGATGACTGGATTTGAGCGGGCCATGAAAGAACGTGCATATCATTTTCTGCATGAAAATTCTTCGCCTGCTTCGTATTGTGAGGCAGATAATTATCCTCCTGAAAACTACCATCACCATTTTGAAATGTATTTTTAAAGTACGATTCATGTAAACAAGATTTAAAACGTCATATGATCGCAGAATTGCTAAGTCATATGAAATTGTCAATATTGAATCGTATCTAAAAAGTGGTGTTCAGAGACTTTGACGACCCTCTGTATAATGGTAACTTCATAATCTGTTAGTATCTTTATAATATAATGGTAACTTCATAGTCTGCTAGTATCTTCATAAAATAATGGTGATATTATAATCTAATTACATGATCTAGTGGTAACTTCATAACCTACTATTCATAATCTGATAGTAATTTTATAACCTTCTTATGGGTAGCTTCTTTGTATTTACAACATTATTTTAATCGTTTCCTGTATATTATGGTAGTGATTTCATAGTCTAATAGTGGCTAAGAATGCTTTAATTTAATGGTAATGTCATAATCTAATAGTGTCTGCTTTCTTCTTGTTCCTAATTCGTTTAGATGATAAATTCTATATTGTTAATACTAGCTTTCTGTAGCTATTTGGATATCTGGTTTTATGTTAAGGATGCTGGCCTCCTATGCCTGATTGGATACTAAATTCTATATTAGAGTGCTTTCTTTTTACACCTATTTGGTTACCTTTCTAGATGCTAAAATCGTGTAAAAAAAGGTGATAGGTGATACAGTAAATTTGATGTAAATCTACGTCTAAATTTGATCAGTATTATGGTATAATTTTTGATTGATCTTTTAGGCACATAATCTGAAGGATCCAAGTTAGCACCATAGTAGCGTCATAGAAGTGGTGAGGAACTAGTATAGTTCTATTAGTTCACCAATTCCATATGCTTGTTTGGATGCTGAGTTATTATGTCTCTTAGCCTGACCCATTTGATTGCTGAAAGTGTACTATTTGCGATTTAACTATTACACCAGTATAAGTATGCCATTTTCGCATCTTGAAGTTCAAATTATTATCACATGATTCAATATATAATTTTACGAGATGTTATTAGACCATTATTCTTTAAGCTTGTTAACTTGTTCTTTTAATGAATCTATTTTCAATTGCATATTTAAAATCTTACGAGTTAATATAAGCTCAATTTGCAATTCAGTATTATGCCATCTTAATGAATAATTTTCAGATTCCATTGATGCTGTATATATTTTAAAATAATTATTTTTTACATATCTTCAATAATAAAGTATATTAATTTGAAAATTTAAAGATATTACAAGTGTTACAGATTTCATATACTAACCTGTAACACAACCTGTGACAGGTTTTTTATACTTCTTGAGGTTATTAGACTATTTTATTTCTTTCTTAATTAGTATTACGAGTGTTACAGGTAAAAAGTAGTAATTTCTAGGAAAAAAAATTTTCTATGCTAACCCTATAGTATATGTGTGATATACAGAGGGTGGACAAAAGTATCCGCACACTTTTTCACTCAATATAAAACTTATAATTTTTTTGCATTAACAATA